GGGGGGCCTGACAGCATTGCTGGTGGCCGGCCAATTGCGGGGGGCTGGGTCAGCAGAGTCAGGAGTGATGTCTTCCTTCTGGTCTACACCTCTCTCTTATTAAGTCACACTGCCAGGCTGCATCACTCAGTTGGGTCCAGCCCCCCTGCCCTCCGCTGCAAAAGGTTTCTGTGGTCTGTGTTTCGATATGTTAATTCATGTCACAGCTTTATGGCAGTTTCAGGCGTTGGGCTGGATCCATTTTGGGGGGAGCCATTATGCCTGAGTACCTGCCTCCCTGAGGTGGGGACCCCATTAACATGCCCAGCTTGGGGGCTGTTGCCCAACTCCACCCTCAGGTGGCAAGGAACCATGTAGAGGCCCATGTGGGTCCACTGGAATTACCATTCCAGCTTTACCCACAGCAAGCAGACTGGGGATGGGATTTCATTGGATGGGAGGTGGGTCAACTGATGCCTGGATCCGTGCCCTATGCCACACCAATGCCCCTGCTACAGGAACTCATATAGTTCCTGGATAATCCAAACATTCTAGAATTCCATAAGCCATGGAGACGCGTAGTCCGAATGCAAGCTACCGCGTTTCGAGTAATTATAGCCTATTGGTTTTGAAAAAGAATTACTCGAAACGCGGCAGCTTGCATCCGAACTACGCGTCTCTATGTTTTATGGAATTCTAGAATGTTTGAATTATCCAGGAACTATATGAGTCCATGATGAATGCACATCAAGTTGGACTATGATATCACAATACAACTGGAGTGAGACACATTGAAATTTTCGGGAATTTATTCTTCTTTCTGTATATTTGTTGTTTCTTGCAAGAACACCTTGGCCTTATATAGTTATATTTCCGAATTACTGAACTTGTAATCTACATTATTTGCAGAAGTGAAACAGGCAAATTCGATGTCAGGCATTATTAGGAAAGGGATTGAAAATAAAACAGCCAATATTATAATGCCCCTGTATAGCTCTATGGTGCGACCTCATTTGGATTAATGTGTACAGTTCTGGTCACTGTACCTCAAAAAGGATATTGCAGAGCTGGAAAAAATACAGAAGAGGGCAACCAAGATGATAAGGGAGTTGGATCCCCTTCCTTATGAAGAAAGGTTGAAGAGCCTGGGACTTTCCAGTTGAGAAAAGAGACAACTAAGGGGGGAATATGGTAGAGGTTTATAAAATTGTGCATAGGGTGGAGGGAGTTGAAGCTGATGGATAGTAGATTCAGGACAGACAAAAGGAAATACTTTACACAGAGAGTGATTGAAATGTGGAATTTGCTGCCAGAAGATGCATAGACAGCTTCAGAAAGGGACTGAATAGATTCATAGATGATAGGTCTATCAGCAGCTACTAGCCATGGTGACTACAGGGAACCTCTACATTCAGAGGCTGTCAAACTCTGAATCTCAGTGCCAGGAGGCAACATCAGGGGAAGAACTCAGCTTCTATACCCTATTGCTGGCCCTGCAGAGGAGGTGGTTGGCCACTGTATGAGACAGGATGCTGGACTAGACAGACCACTGGTCTGATCCAGCAGAGCTCTTCCTAGGTTCTTAACCAGCCCACTACCTTTGCTGCTAGCAGATACTGTGCACAGGTCAGCAGACAAACAGAGGGGCTTGGTTGCTTCCCCACTGCCGCTTCCTGGCCCCAAGCTCGGCACAGGGGATGCAGCCTCATCCACAAGACTGTCGCTGCTGATTTTAGTGTTTTCTATGCCACGTGGATTCCCACAGGCTGTTTAACATCTAGTGACAAGTGAGGAAATGCTTTCGTAGAACACTGAATAAGTTTAATGTACCTACATACTTCTGACATTTCGGACCACTGACGTAGCCCATCCCAATCCTACCCCCACCAGCAATTCTGCAATACAGTCAATGGAAAAAAATTCTAGTTTGTTTTTACATATACTTCCCAGACTATGGGAAAATACTACAATGTTGACAGCCAACTGAAACATATAAGATTTCCCAATTAATACGTTTTGTGAAGTCTCTTACGGATTGCTATTGCATATCGCAGCTGGTAGAATAAAAAAAAGTGATGTAATCGGGAAACTAGTTTCAGCATGACGTCTCATTAACAATTATATATGGAAATCTATCGCGACGGAGTTCAGAGAACACAATACCAACCATCCCGAAGCTGGTCGATATCATCATCAAACACAGCTTCCTTAAGAGCACTCTTGTCGTAGGCGCTGATAGTGTCGGAGTATGGGTAGGGGTTATACTCCCGGGTTCGGGGTCCTGAAAAGGCACGTGGGGGCTGGGTGTTGAGTAAAGAAGTTTTGTTGTCCAGAGCCATCCTTCCCCCTTCCACTACATCGCTGTTTCCACGGACATCAATGGCTGTTGAGGCTATCCCACCATCTCGAGAGACCTGGGGACCAAATGTGCAATAAGATTATTTGGGCAAACAGAAGAGAGTAATATCGTGCTGCAGGATTACTATTCTTGCAGAGAGATATCAAATTTGGCTTGTAGCTGTTGCTTCCAGAGTGAAGGGAAAACAGCGAGAATTATAAGCTCCGTGCAGATTTTCAGACATGCAGTGTGAAGTCAGAGCACTGTGGCCCACTCCGAGCTGACAGGTGTATTAATATTTGCTTAGGGGCCCACATATTTGAAACCCAATGACTTATCCTTATGATCTGCACACTACAGAAACATGTGCAGACTGTGAGGATATGGAGAATGTGCACTGGATTCTTGCATATATGAAGTCCAATGTGCAAATTTTAGGGGGGGCTGGGAATGCCATGGAAGAAAGGAGGGGTCAGAAGGATTTCAGTCCTTCACTGTAGAATTTGTACATCTTTACTGAAAAACCACAATGAGCCATCAAGTCTAACAGCGTTGGAGAGAAATATCAATAGAGGAGGGGAAAGTTTCCTACAAAGAATGTTCTCTTTTTTTGTCCCCTGTAACAAAAATCACAAATGCACAACATTAAATAAAAGGTAAATGCTGGGAATATTAAAAACAGGAATTGCTCTGTTACTTAGTCCAATCTACGTTTGATGTGCAAACGTGGCCAAGTTAACACATGCAGCCATCTACATGGGTTGCTATGTGAAATTTAACTGTGTAGAAGATGTTCCACATGTAATGTATATGAGAAGATCCCCTGTGGGAAAATTAGTTGAAATCCAAGATATTTAAGTGCTTTGAACGTTAAAAGACAAACACTTTTAAAATCCATTTCACAGCTCCCCTCCAGACTACTTACAATATCACAGTCCTTTTTTCCATCACGTTTGATTGGTTCATTAAGATCTTCTTGACTACGAAAACTAAACTTTTCAATTGCCTCTGTGACTCCACGGAGAGAGCTGTAGATCTCATCAGAATTTAGATTCTCCGTATCATAATCCAGCACGCTGAAGACCAAATACATATGGGATATTAAAACTAAGGAGCAATTTGCTTGACCTTGAGCTATAATATAGCTCATTGGTGAACCATCACTTGGATTCCAGTTTTAACCATTTGCTATCTTACTGCTAACAGGCAACTGAATATTGGTTAAAATGATACATTCAGACAGTGAACTTGCATTGAACTGATTTCACTGTACGTTAGGACTACTTAAAAGCGATACTTTTAATCAAATTTGTAATAGAATTGTTCTCTCAACTATCATAAACCAAGGAATACAAAATAAAAAAAAAATTAAAAGCTCACGCATTCTATTATTCTTCCTCTAGGCCTAACTACAAGTATTTAATAAATGATTAACAGCAATAAAAGAAAGACATCAGTGATTATGGAACCCTTAAAATTTATGGTATTGTGGATTCAATGCATAAAACATAAAAATACTCATTTCAACTTTAAAATTTGCTTTCTGAATGTGAAATCTAAGTCAAAGAATTAAAATGGCTATGAGATAAGTATATCCAGAGGGAAAGCTAGCATATTGTACAGCTTAAAGAAACAAAAGATTTAGTGGTTCAGCATTAAATGTCAAGAATTCACTGCCACAGGAGGTGGCGGTGGCTACAAGCATGGACAACTTCAAGAGGGAACTGGATAAACATATGGAGCAGAGGTCCATCAGTGGCTATTAGCCACAAGGTATAGATAGGAACTCTTGGTCTGGGGCAAGTGATGCTCTGTATTCTTGGTGCTTGGGGGGGGGCAACAGTGGGAGGGCTCCTAGTGTCCTGGCCCCACTAATGGACCTCCTGATGGCACCTGGTATTTTTGGCCACTGTGTGACAGAGTGTTGGACTAGATGGGCCATTGGCAACTTGCCACCCCTTTTCATTTTCTTCCAATGTGCACTATAACACTACAATGGCTCTGATAAAAATTGATATCAGCACGTGGCAACAGACTGTCACGCAGCTATAGAAGTTACTACAGCAAGGGGAAAATGGCATCCATGATGGGCTGACAGTGGGAAAATGGCAGCAATGTGGGGACCCTTTGCTGGCAAGGAAAATGCAGACCGTTCCTTCCTAATGGCACGCTAACCCACTTGGACTACATAGTAATGTAAGTCTTGGAAAGAACTTACTCAGGATGGGAACAACCTGGAAAGAGCGCTTCAGATTGGAAGCTAAGGCAGAGGAAAAACCTCCATGGAAGTGTAAAGAATTAGCGGCAATTCCCACTTGTCTCTGACCATTTTGTTGCAGTGCCCACGGTAGATCTTTCAACAGACTGCAAAGAGTACTTAATAAATGCAAGCATAACACATGAATAAATCCTTAAAAGGTCTGCAAGGTGGTAGTTTGCCATTGCCTTCCTCTGTATAGCAACCCTGGACTTCCTTGGTGCTCTCAAGAACTTAGAGGGATAAAAACAGCAGACCACCATTCCATGGAAAACTGGGAAGCCATGACAATAATTCACAATGAAAAGCACCAACGGTTGTGGTTTGAATCTTACATTGTAAAAGCAAGACCAATGGAATTACTTTTACTGTATCAGTGAAGCCCTTCACGCCTCCATTTATCCTGTACAAAACCAAAGAAGTACTGCTATGACAAGAACCCAGGGATATAGAATGTTGGATCCAAACCTTGACACCAAGCACTGTTACTGTTCTAATTGGATTAGTCACTCTCACTGCTACTTGCTGAATCCTACAGCAAATGTGCAGCTTTCTACTATGATGAAATATATATGAGTAGGCTTGCCAAGTCCCCCCAGGGGGCGGGGAAAGCCCCGCCCCAGAGGCCTGTTCCCCGCCGCCGCCGGATTGGACCCCAGGGGGAGCCCCACCCCGACGTGCGCGTCACCCAGACGTGACGAGACCGCGCCGGGCACGCTGGGGGCGGGGCCACGGTCATCCGAGGGAAAACTCTACGTTTTTCCCTCAGATGGTCGTGGCCCCGCTCCCAGCATGCCCGGCAGCGTCACGTCACTTCTGGGTGACGTACGTGCATGCAGTGCGCGCGCTCCAGACACCAGCCAGGAGTCCCCCGCTGAGGCGCAACACCCGACTTGGCAACCCTATATATGAGGTATTTTGAGGGGAGCCAAAACAGTTTTGAGAAGACAAGCAACTATTCAGGGGAAGGCCAATGAGTGGGTTCTATGGATTCCTAAATCCTAAGTTCTTTGTGAGGGAATCTCTGGGAGTTGCTTTCTATATTACTTTGTTCATATTTGCACCTTAAGATCGAAAGTCTAATAATGAAGTCTAGGTTTGTATTATGTCAAGTCTTAAATTCTGTGGAAATGATACACGGGAAGATAAAGTCTAAATAATGTTGTAAAAAAAAGGCAAGATTAGTTATCTTTTTTTTAAAAATAAAAACTTTAGGAACAGAGAAAACCCTACTGACATTGTGAAGGGTTTTAATGGCTGAAACACAGAGGAAATAAGACAACTGAATTCCAACTTTACCAAAAAAGTAAATGATTAGATAATTGATTAGGTAACTGGTTTTTTGACTGCATGGATGTTCCTCAGTGAACATTTGGAAAAGGCTAGTGGGCCAAACAGGTCATGATGAGTGCAATCAAATCTGAACTTCTCAGATCTTGGAGGTTAAGCAGGATCAGCTGTAGTAAGTACATGGATAGGAGACCACCAAGGAATACGAGGGTTGCCACACAAACACAGGCAATGGCAACTTCCTCTATTTGTCCCCTGCCTTGAAAACTAAACGGGGTTGCCATAAGCTGACTGGCCACAAGCCTGGTTGTCATCAATAAAACAAAAAGCTAATCCTAGCCAAATCTCTCCCCTACATTTTGTAATTCCAATACTGCTTTCAAAAGCTCCATTTAACTGAATATTGGAGACAGTATAGAAGACAACTGGTTAAGAAATTAATTTAATCTCTACCACTGAATGGTGTAAAATTAAGTTAACACGAGAACAAGCAATGACAGGAACTTCATGCACACTTATTTTTATGTCATACAACAAAACATTCTAATGGAAAATGATAAACTTTGGATTGGATCCAGCCAACTCTTTCACTCAACTTTGGCCAATTCCTATCCTTATTACAGCTCCAATTCTTCCTATCCTATTACAGCTCTATTGGAGCTCTTCTGGTGGTCAAACGGGAACCTTTCCCCCTTTTTTTACCAGTGGGAAAACTGGTTGGATCCAACCCTTAGTACTCCACTGAGAGACATTACAATAAAATCATTTCTGAAAATACAAGGCACTACAATGAAATTTCTAGACTCCATGGCAACTTGGTTCCCGGGATTTGTTGAGCCTTGGTCTTCAATGTTATTTTTATTGTAAGCCACTCTGAGCTTCATAAAAGGCAGGGTAGATTTTTGTTTTTAAAGAATAAACTATGTTTTCGCAAAGGAGCCACACTGCAACTCCTAGACTAGGCTTGCCAAGTCCCCCCGGGGGGCGGGGAGACCCCCGCCCCAGAGGCCCGTTCCCCGTTGGCGGCGGATCGAGCCCCGGGGGGAACTCCGCCCTGACGTGCACATCACCAGGAAGTGACGTGATGATGTCGGGCACGCTGCCACGGTCATCCGAGGGAAAACTCTATGGTTTTCCTTCGGATGGTCGTGGCCCCGCCCCCAGCATGCCTGGCGTCGTCACGTCACTTCCTGGTGACGTGGATGCGGCGCATGTGCGTGCTCCGTGATCGGCCCGGGAGTCCCCCGCTGCAAAGGAAGGTAACACTTGGCAACCCTATCCAAGACTCAAAAGGAATACAGCAGAAGGCAGGCATCTGATTACAGCACAGGACCAGGAAACAATAGCTACTGTGAAGATGCAGGGGTGGCAATCCTGCAGACCCTTCAGGGTAGAAAAGGTTCCAATTCTGTATTTACAGCTGCTTTAGTCAATACAACAGAAGAGAGGCTACACTTTCTGTACAAATGAACACAGAGATGTTACACAGGATTCCAACATTTCCTCGACAAATAACTTTGCTTTGTGCTCACTCAAGAAAAAGTTTCAACAAAACCTCTAAACAATAGCGCAAGCCTGAATGGGCTCATGTGATTCACAGAGCACATTGTCATTTGATACATGAGCAAAATTAGCACAGAAAGGCAAGAGTTATGTACCTCTTGCTACATTACATTCTCACTGGACGTAACACATCACAGGACTCTGAGAAGCTACCCGGCAGGTTGAAAATAAAACAAAACAGAAAAGAGACGTGCATCGTGCCAGTCTCAGATGAAAAACCAAACTACTTAGTACAAATTCACTTGACTAACACTTTCCTCACCTGGAGAACTTTACAAGATATACCAAAATGTAGTAGTGTGGTATTTTGGAAAACTTTAAAATGACACATTTTTTTATCTACCACATGCACTGATTTTCAGCAAAGACAAACATTTAGCCAACAATGCTGAAGAAAAACACACTTGAAAATGTGACCGAACTATGCCTTTGATTCTTACTGATCAAAATGTGAATGAAATTGGAACACTGATATATTTTTGCAGCATAATTTTGGTTTAAAATCTTGAGGATGGTAAAATAATGGCCTTCTTCATTGAATCCATACTGGCACTGGAGAATGTCCTGCAAGCTGTAAATGGGTTTGACCAGCTACAAAACTTGTAGTCCTCCCCCATTATCAACCTATTCTTCCCCTATGCATTCAAATGCCACCATTTTCCCCAATATTAAAAAAATTCTCCCTTGACTCATCCTGCACCCTATATACCTTCCACTCCTCACCTTTAAACACCTAGAATTTAGACCTGGATTAATTTACACATGTAGAATCTATTCACTATTTCTCACAATCAAACCCTATGATCCTTATTCTTCACCCAACTCTTTAGCCAGTTTGATATAGTGGTGGAGTGCGCGGACTCTAATCTGGGAGAACCGGGTTTGATTCCCCACTCCTCCACTTGCACCTGGCTGGATGACCTTGGGCAAGCCGTAGCTCTGATAAGAGCTGTCCTTGAGAAAGAGCAGCTTCTGTCAAGAGCTCTTTCAGCCCCACCTACCTCACAGGGTGTCTGTTGTGGGGAGGGGAAGGGAAAGTAGTTTGTAAGCCACTCTGAGACACCTTTGGGTAGTGAAGGGCGGGGTATAAATCCAATCTCCTCCTCCTCCTTTACTTTGATTCATATGACCATCCTTTTTTTATTAATTCATATGACCATCCTTTTTTCCTCAATAAACTCCTCAACTCTGCTACATTGTCAAATAGTTTGTTCAGTTTTTTCCTGGGGAGATGGGAGAAGCCCCTCCTCTGGTTTCCTCCGTTCTCATCAAATTCCTTGGGTTTCTCTTCTTCTTGATCCTCCATTAATCTTTTTATACACTTCCGTTGGGTGCTTTCAGTAATCCTACAGCATCCTATCCCATCTACACCACAGTTACATTTTCCTTCTCAGGCTACTCCTTTTCATTCTGTCCTTCGTCTCCAGATGCTGAATAATACTTATTTAAATGTCTCAACATCATACTAAACTTCAAATATCCAAGACGGAAATTCTCCTCTTTCTTCTCAAGCCATCCTTGTCCTTGCCTTCTCTGCTTCCAACAACAATGTCCCCTGATAACCAGACATAACTTTGGCTTTCATTGTACTCTTTCATTTAGTTCTCATAGTCTGTCACAAAATCATGTTGAATGATACTGTCAAAACTTAGCTCTTGCCTTCTACCCCCATCAAGGAAAACTCTTGTTTCATTCCTTAGTCATCCTGCACCAACTACTGCACCTTTCTGTTCTACAACTTTCCCGTGTTGCATCTGTGGTCTCTTCTCATCCAGAACTCAGATCCAGAACTGTCAAAAGTACTCATCCTCGCATGGTCTAACCATTGTGTTGGATCCTATCTAGTGAAAAAATCCTTCTTCCTATCTTCAAAGATCTCCACTGCCTTGCCTCCCTTAAATTGCCATGTGATTTTAGCTCCCCCTACTCATACCCCCTTCAGCTATCACCTTCACCCATTCTCCATTGCTGTCCTTTAATGCCTAGAACTCCCTCTACCACCACCTACATTGTGCTATTTCTCTTGCATCCTTCAAATCATAGGTTCATATCTTTTTATGAAACTCTGGAATCATCACCTGCTATTAAAACAAAGCCTAAGTACATGTCATTGCATTTGTTTACATTAGTTTCTTGCTATTTTGCCTCTACAGTTTCTTCCTTCTCTTGACTGGTTTATTAGCAGTTCCCTCCTAATGTTTTTAACCTATAATTTTCTGTCCAGGGGCCTGATTTTTGTTTAAACTACTCTGAAAGGGCATCATATACACAATAACAGTACAAATCAACTGGAAACACTATTTGCAAAAGTCCATGGGGAAGGATTATTTTCAAATTATTTTTCTAAATTGTTTTTAAGTGTTTTAAACAAACAGCTATTGAAACCACACAGCTCTTAAAAATTTAATTCTGCACATAATTTAACAAACAAAACCTGCTACTCCCGTTTGTTCAAAGTAACATAAATGCCTGGATTATATCATATTACTAGCATCACAAAATAGAGTTCATTTGACATTTCATAATATCTCAATGTCCAGAATCCACAATCTATGTTCATAACTCAAGAATTAATCTTTATAAAATAGCTCAAGAAAGAACAGCAGCTTCTGAATTTTTTAAAAGAACAACAATTTATGCAAGCAAATACATTTAGTCAGAACAGATACTGTACCATGCATAGATAATGTGAAGGGAGAAAAAAAAGAAAGAAATGCAATATGAAACAACATCCATTTACAATAACCAATCACACAATATGAAAAACAACGATTCATGCTGAAAACTGGAAGAGTCACAAGGTGAACAAAGAGATGAAAAGAAATGCACAATTTTTACAGATGTCACAATATTATTTTCCACCTGCACCAGACTTCAAAAAACATGGTCTGATACAGATCTTTTTTTCCCCCCCAATAATATCTGGAGCGTAAGGATAAAAAAAAGATTATCCTAAATTCTTCTAAGTATCAATAATCTCCCTCTTTGTTTCTTGGCTCATAGAAACTGAACCTATGTGTGGATCTCCATTTCCATCTCCTTGTTCAAGTGATGTTATCATTATTTTGCTCTGAATATCCCATAATAAAGTGCATTAAAATAAATGAAGGACTGAATAGTATGGGTGATTTTGCACAAGAGCTGCCTCGCGGCACAGCTGCACGAAACTGCGGAGGAAATCGGGCGAAGCCGCGGGTCAAATGCAGCCCCGCAGCCTCGGGTGTGAAATTGACAAATAGTGTTGGGGCAAACGGCAGCTGCGCTGCGAGGCAGCTCTAGTGCGAAATCACCCGTATGACTAACTAGTGTTACTGTAACTTGTCCACTTAAGTAATTGGGGACTTTTTCATACACTGTTCTCTGGGTTCAATTATTCCTTTCTCAGATACTGATGTTTATCACTGCAAGTTTTTGACATATGCATTGGTCTATCTTCCAACACTTATGATTGAAAAGGGACCTCTGTGCCTTTGGTGTAGTGGTTTGGTGCCAGTTTGGTGTAGTGGTTATGTGTGCAGACTCTAATCTGGGAGAACTGGGTTTGATTCCCCACTCCTCCACTTGCACCTGGCTGGATGGCCTTGGGTAAGCTGTAGTTCTGGTACAGCTGTCCTTGAAAAAGAGCAGTCTCTGTCAGAGCTCTCTCAGCCCCACCTACCTCACAGGATGTCTGTTGTGGGGAGGGGGAGGGAAAGTAGTTTGTAAGCCGCTCGGAGATTCCCTTGGGTAGTGAAGGGCGGGGTATAAATCCAATCTCTTCTTCTTCTTCTTCCTCTTCTAAAAAGTACTGAAAAGTGACCCAAATGCAGTGCTAATCTTTGTTGTCTGATCCACCTAGGGGTTATACATGCGCTGAAATACATTTTGACCTGTTTATCCTTAGCTGGATGGGGAAAAGCTAAGGAGGCCCTCAAATCCAATCCAGCAGCCCAAGCTGCAGTGAAACCCTACCCACCATCTCTTGGTGGAAAGCTGGAATCATCCCCAGCCAATTGGAGGGACTTCAGCTTTGTCTGCTGGGATACAAGTGTTGTTTTTACATGTGCTTTGTTTAATCAGGGCTAGTGACCATAAATGTACCCAATTAGTATCAATTCACAGAAAACAAGAAGGCTGGACTTTTGTATAACTGCATTTAGCAGTTAAACACATTAGGGTGATGTGCTCTTGTAGATACACAATGAATACAAGCTGGGGAACATCGGTCAATTATGCTCCCTGGTGCAAGGCCTTCAAAGTAACTCTGCATATGTAAAACACATATAGCTTTTCCTTCACATTTTATGATATTTGCCCTTGCAAATATCAGTGTATACACAGCAGCCACATTTGACACGTGAAATGTGAATCATCTCCTAAGAACCCAGGTAAATACTGATCTTAAGTACTCCTGGAAGAACTGTGTTAACTGTTTAGGAAATGGAAAAAAGAATAAGCAGATCTTTCCCAACTCCATACAATGCTGCTGAATTGAAGTGCCTTCTTCCACTGGGACTCATGGCAATATAATGCCTAGCGGCAACTAGTCTGCGTATTGTCTGAGTCAGGTAGCTTGACTACAAGGTAGGACAGTTTAACTTTTCTCCTAGTCTCTGCTCTCGATCTGATCTCCTGATTCCTAGCATGAGACTCAACCCCTGAGCTTTCATTACACACCCAAATCTGAGAGGGAAGTGGGTTAAAGGGATAACTCTGTGTGTGTAAAACGAGTCCTGACCTTGCTTTTATTGCAGTGCTTCCGGCAACAGGAATGAAGAAAGAAGAAGGTTTGCTATATTACCTCCATAGTGTAGTACTTGCAGAGATTTGCCTGATGACCTATCAGGAAACACTAGGGAACAGGGCAATCATGTGATTTCTCCACACGTTAAAAAATAAATACAGAGTACGAGCGGCTGTCCCTCACCAAAACCCCTGTGCCTGTCTGCTTGAAAGCACTGAGCCAACGGTAAATAACATTGTGACACCTCAAGACAGGTTGGATTTTAACAGGTAGCTTGTTACCTGGGAGAGTAAGTGCGCCTGAAAGTCTTGTGAGGAGGAGCAGCGGGGATGGAGTTAGGCTGAAAAAGGGGAGGGGGGTGCTTCGACAGCCCATCTGCACTCCAACCCCAGAAACGACTGCAGTGGTCACAGGAAGGAAAAAAGAGAAAGGGGGGGGGGACAGAAAAAGAAAAAGGGGGGGACAAAAAAAAGGAAAAGGGAGGAAAAAAAACTATAATCTAAGAGGCTGAGTGTTTTCATGCTTTCTCAGCAAGAAAGAAAACTTAACAGAAACAAATGAGACAAGAATACTCCACTGATTTGCTTCGTGCAAACATGTTAACATTTTAGATGGGTGGCTGTGTTAGTCTGTCTGTGGCAGTAGAACAGAGTAGGAGTCCAGTGGCACCTTAAAGACTAACAAAGTTTGTGGTACGCAGGGCTCTACTGGTAGCAGGAGCTCCTTTGCATATTAGGCCACACACCCCTAGTGTAGCCAACCCTCCAAGAGCTTACAGAGCTGCTCACTTCCTCAGATACTTGAAGTCACTGATATCTGAAGAAGTGAGTCACTGAAGAGGTCACTGGTATCTGAAGTGAGCAGTGACTCATGAAAACTCATACCCTGCCACAAATTCTGTTAGTCTTTAAGGTGCTACTGGACTCTTACTCTTTTCTAATGTTAACATTCTGTAATTGATTATATGCTTTGGAGACATTTAGGATAGTCCTTGGTTGTTTAAATTTGCTTGTATATAATATATAGCAAGGATGATCAACTGAAATCAACAACAGCAAAAAATAGGCATCCGACTTTATCTGGAGGTAGTTACCCGTCATTTAACCCATTTCAAAATATCAATCTGTTCACTGTTGTGAATATGCGTCTGGCACCAGTTTATCGTAAAACCTCATGTAACAGAATCACAGATTGAAAAGGAACCCACAACGGGTATCCATACACATAAAGCGTTACCGGCCAACAGATTGATGTATAAATCTACGGATGGAAAGAATAAGTCTCGTAATTTGTACTTCCAATAAAACTTGCAGTCGCTTGAGCAGGTGCTCTTTTCATGAAACTGGATTTCTACTTTAGCTTTTCTTGTAACAAAAAAACCCATGGGCTTGCAGTTCATTTAAGCCACTCCATCCCAGTGTTCATGCCTTAAATACACCTTCCCTTGGCAAGTTCGGTGATAGTATGAGAATGAACTGGCCATGGAAAAAAACAGAAATGCCTTCTTGCTTTCAGATGCCCAGGGGTGAAGCTACGAGAGAGGCGGACCTGGGACTTCCAGAGACATGGCATCCTGAACAGGAGCTTCTGTATACAGCTCCTTCGATCTTAACTCCCAGAGGGCTTTTTGTCTTCAATGCTGGTGGGAAAGAGGAGATAAATCTGCCCCTCCAAGAGGAGGCACTTTGACCATCACCCCCAGAACAGTCAGATTCCATCAAGACTGCATGAACTGACATTGGCTCAAAGCCAAATAAGGCTGCCTCCCTTCTTTTCTTTTTCATTGCACCCCCTCCTCTTATCTTTTAAGCATATGTTGTGTGTTTTTTAATCTTCATTCACTTTCAAGTCATTACATAGACGTTGGGAAATAATAAGAAAGACTATTTTAAAAAGACTAAGCTCATGACAGACTACAACCCCCTCTTTATTTTTATTTTTTCCATTCGGGATTCTGACAAGTTTTGTTGAAGGGGGGAAAAGAACAATGGAGTTGTGATCAGTACTAATTATTATGGCCTTCAAATACTGGGGGTGGTGTTAGGAGAAGACTATAAACTGCTGCATAACACAGGCTTTGGAATTCAAACTGCATCATGATCTAACTACTTTCCTTTTATTTCAATACTAAGATGCCATTTTGAACTCACAAATACATTGGACTTAAAAGTTAACAGATTGTCCGGACTGTTCAAGCTGGGATGGCTTTCAAGTATTTTTAAGTACTGAAGTGCAAAGTTTTTTATACACAAAATTTAAAGACTTACTGTAATGATTTCATGTCTTGGTATGTCTGTTTCTTTAAATGTTGTTTGACTGCAGTAATGTAAGAAGAGTGAAAGAGGGAGACAAGTGTGATGTGATTGGCTGATGACTGAGAGAGTGGGAGGAGGGGTGTCTATGACAGTGATTCTGCGTGTGAAGTTTGAAGAGAGAGCATAGTCTGTGTAACTATGGGAGTTTTTGAGTCTATTCTGTGTGAATAAGACAAACAGTTTAGTCTGTGTGAATATGAGTTTTGAGTCTATTCTGTGTGAATAAGACAAAGAGTTCAGCATGTGTAGCTATACAGATGAGACAGAGAGACAGAGAGAGAGAGATTAGACTGAGTGTCTACGCCTGTCAGAGTGGGGTTTTGGGAGTTTGAGAGACTGTTTGTGACACCAAGCTTTGCCAGTTATATTTACAAGTTCCTTTCATCAGCAACAGTTCAAAATAACCAGAAAACTATTTTGTTCTTTATTAAATAAATCATTTTTTTGTTTAAACTTATCCCAGAATTCAGAATAGTCCTTCCTCAGGGCCACATAGTCCTCTGAAGTGCCCAGACCCTAGGTCATTCTACCAAGAGAGAGAGATTTGGAATTTTTAATTCCTGGTGGCAGCAGAAATCTACCAAGTTTAGGTAAACAGAGTGTTTTAAAAGTAAAACCTTCTCCCCAATAAGCTTACCCCTCTTCCCCTCCCACTGAGAGTGGTCTGATGAAATTTTGCTCAGCTATACCTCTTCATTTCTGATTTTATGTCTACAATTGTTATTCTCCTCTGGATGGGAAACTGGATTATTGGATCTGAAGGGGTTTTTTGGGGTGTTCTAAAGCTTTGATTCTGGTGCTTTCTGGTGTTTTCCGAAGACCTTGACCTCTTGAGAGACACAGACAGCTTCCAGCTTAATTCCTACGGCAACTGAACTAAAAATGGCACTTTATGAATCTTATGGTCTCTGCTGCCACCTTTTGTCAGGAATAAAAAATGCAACAACTAGATATTTCTACATTTTAATTGGCAGGAATAATTATTTGAATGTATAATTGAAGACTCAAGCTTCTTTTAACAATACTAAAAAGTACTAATTTTTAAAGTAACTGGGATATTAACCATAATAATATACTAATATATTAATTGTTTAATCAAATTCTCATCCTCCTTTTTAACCTATATACTTTCTTTTTAAAAATAATTACATAATCTAGCATTCTTTATCTTCTTTTTAATCCAAATACAATCTCCTTCCTCCAAAAAACAAGGAAGAAACTAAATTGAACGGTTATTTGTATTTTTAAATATCTCAGCTTATATTTCTTGGAATTCTAAAAGTTGTAATACAGCATTTGAATTTAATGTTTTGCTTGATGGTATGATAATCGGTATTCTTTATAAAAATAGCTGTATAACAAGCAAATGAGAAGTTTGTACCAAATATTTTTAGATAGATCAAATAAATGACATAAAATGACAACACACCTGAAGGGAAAGGGGACGGGAAGCATGAGGAAACAGAAGAAGAATTAGAGCCAGATTTCTCAGGCCTTATGGAAAAAGATCCAAGAGACTTTGGTGATACTATCACAAACTATTACTGCTTAGATTAAAGAATCTGAAGAACACACTCAATAATGAATCAAGCAAGCTGGAGAAAGTACTTACAATAAAATTTAAAAAGACATCTCAATCCTAAAACAAGAATTTACAGCAGGACTAGTTGAGATTCAAAAGAAAGTTGAACAGGAGATTGATAAAGTCCAACACAAAGGTAGAGAATTACACCAAAAAGTCCTAGTTCAACAGTTAGAGCTCACTAATCAAAAGACTGAAACTTTAGATACCCAGAGTAGAAATTGTAATCTTCAAAATAGATCTATTTCAGACGATTTGGGTAAGATAAACCTCAAAGAGAATTTCCGTATGTTGTTATAAGACAATTTTAAGATTGAAGGAGACTTCCAGATATCGATCAAATATATATACAAAGTTAACTTGAGATTTGCAAGTAAGAATAGAAAACACTGAGACATATTAGTCTAATTTACACATAAGAAAACAAGAGATTTTATACTGAATAAGAGAGAATTTCCACTTAAAGTTTAGGGAACAGAAGTACAGATTTTTCAAGATTTCCCATCAACCCTATTGAAAAAGAGAAAGGATTTTGATTTTTTTAAGACAAATTCTTCAAAAGAAAGATATATTGCTGGAGAATTCCATTCACTCTCACAGTGCTATTACCAAAGGGAAGAAGACTAATATTGACAACTGAACAAGCCAAACAACTCTTTGAAGAATTTTCGACAGGAAACATACCTGAAGATTTACAACTCGAAAAGGTGAAAACAGAAAAACAACAAAGAAGCCTAAGATAATGAAGAAGGAAAATTAGATCAGGCAGTAGCATTTTAGCAAAATGGATAGCTTAAACGATATATCATCAATGGCCTAAATTCCCCTACAAAGCTATCAAAAGCATTCAATTTATTAAAGCAACAAAAAGCAGATATTATCTGTATTCACAAAACCCACATAAAGAAAGAACATGAATATTTTTAAAGAACAAGAAATTGGATAAAGCCTATTTTTATCATCAGCTGATCAAAAGAAAAAAGGTGCAACAGTTTATAGAATGAAAGAATGAATAAATGTTTTAGAAGAACTGAAAGATCCTGAAGGGAAATCAGATTTCTTGAAGTCAAGATCAACACATTGATATCACTAAATGTCCCAAACAATGCTAAAGAAAATTTTTATGAGAAATTCTTTCAAATGGTATTGGATTTTCAAGAAGGAGAAATCATGATTTTTGGAGATATGAGTGGCATAATGGACTTAAAAAAGATAAATCCAGAAAAACAAAGGGGGGTAAACTCCCTAAAAATGCCTTCCGATCAAGAAGGTGACTTTAATGGAAATCAAGCAATTAAAAAACCAAGTTACAAACCGAAGAAATACAGAAGAAATTAAGCTTTTTGAAACAGAAATATTTTGAGCATGCAAATAAACCCGAACTTTTTTGGCCCACTGCTTAAGAAAAGAAGCTGAAAGAAGAATGATAACAGGAGTGAAAAAGCTTTACAGAATTACATGGAGAAAGAAATACATGAGCAGTTTATTTCGTTTTCCTCAC